TCAAATAAATAAATAAAATCTTTAAAAAAAAAAAAGAGAGAGAGCAGGTACCAACCCTGGAGCTTGAAGGCCTAAGGGTGGAGGGGATATTATCACAGCCGCGAACCAGGGCCACTAGAGGACCTAGACAGATCCCTAGGGACGTCCCTAGCAGGAGGTGGGACCCTAATAAGGGGTGAGTGGAGGGAGGTAGAACAGAGGCAATACAGCTATTACCATAGTCCCCACCCAAAGCAGAGCAAGTGAGAGAGAAACACCCTGGCTTCTCCCAACTCTCACCTTCTGGGGTATCGCTGGTGCCTCCTTAGTAAACCAGACAGAAAACCAGTTGTCAGACTCTGGGAAACATCACCTGCAGAGCTTAAACTCATACAGTAGATTGTAGAGCAGGGGATAAGGCGGATAATGGATCTTAGAGCGAAAAGGCCAATGACTGGCACAGGATCTCGCAGGGCCTACTCTGAGCTGGACCAGGGCAACAACTGCCCCATAATCCTCCAGAATGACTGCAGCACACATCCTTGTAACCTAGAATTCTTCCCCAAATGCTGGCTATTTCCTTCTCCTTAGCGTGCACTTACCTTGGCAAATGGCTGCAATTCTTTTGGGAATCCTAGGAGTAAAGGTCATAGTGGTGTTATAGGAAGGTTTTCCTCAGGAGCACCCAGCCTCCCGTCCATACACCCAGACCTGGAAACAGGCAGTATCTAGCATGGGTGATAACTGGACTGAGGCCTCCGGGACCACACATGAAGTGTTTTTAGACAAATAACAAAGTAAACTTTCAGTGGTCGACTACTTATCTCATTTGCAGGCTTGCTAGTAATCACGGTCAGCTATCTGTCAGAACGTCAGTGGTATGCTGGTAAAGTTGGACATGAAGCTTCCCAAGGGAAAGAAGTGTGTGTATACTACGTGAAATAAGTTTTTGTAATTATACAGATGTGTAGCACACATCTACAAATGATACCAAAATACAATACCCTTGGATTGTCAATTCTGTATAGCAATTGATTCTCTTAGAATGCCTTTGTTGACTTTTACCAGTGTATGCTTAAAACTGACAAATGGGTATAATTCTGACATCGTTGGTTGGTATTTTCATTTACGTTAAAGAGTAAGATCAAAGCAAAACAAGATGAGGACACAGGACAGAACTTCGCTTGTTATGTCAATGACAGGACTGAGCTCTTTGCTAATAGCTTTTGAATACCGGAAGAATATTTCCTCTACTTTTTGTGCAGTTCAAAATGTACAGCCATGACACATTTTTAAGTTTAACCTGAATTACTAACATTTTCTCTGTCAACTTTTAAAGTCAACCAGCCTTGATTTGTAGTGTATGCTCTTAAATACTCCCATCATACTTGAGTTAAAATTACCAACATGTTGTCACTGAATGCAGAGTTGTGGTATGTCCCCCCTACAAATGTTAATCATAAATAAAATATAGTAAATAAATGCTCAAAACTCAGGTTCTAAACTACTGTCTTTAATATAACTTATTGGTTATAGTAAAAATTTAGACTATAACCTATGAACATATGTATACAATACATGCATTATGTTACCCAGTATAAACATGTATTTACATGTGTGTATTTCTACACACACATATATAAACACACATACGTATACACCTTTTAACAACCAGTTCACAAAATTTCTAAAAATATAAAAATTAGCTCTTGTAAGCCAGAATGAGGCTGCCCAAGTGCACCACTAAATCAACGGCTTTGCTTCTGGTGAGTTGCTGCTAGAGCTCAGCATTCCCTGGGCTGCTGCACTTCCTAGAGATCAGAAATCCCTTTGTAAGTGCAGTCCCCCTTCCCAGCATGCCAGACCTCTTAAGGTACTCTCAAAAGAAATTGATGCTTTCCTCATGACACAGGTTCAAGGAAAGGCATTTTGGCCCTGTCTCAGGGAGCCTAATGACAAGGTAAGTGAGAAACTCAAGACATGAGAAAGCAAGTTCAGCATCCCAAATTTTCCAGTTCCTTCCTGTGTATCAGGCAAGGTCATTTCTGTACTTCAAATATCGTTTAGTTTCAGTCAGGACTCAGGAGATTTGCAATCACCTACCCAGAAAATTATGAGAAAAGCAATAAACTGCACAAATCAGCACATCAAATATGTAATACCCTGTGTGTGTACCATAAATTCAGTCCAGTTCAAAATTTTGTTTTTTTTTTTTTTAAAGATTTTTTTTTTTAATTTATTCATTTGAGACACAGAGATAGAGAGAGAGAGAGAGGGAGAAAGCATGAGCAGGGAGAGAGGCAGAGGGAGAGGGAGAAGCAGGCTCCCCGCTGAGCAGGAAGCCTGATGCGGGCCTCGATCCCAGGACGCTGGGATCATGACCTGAGCCGAAGGCAGACGCTTAACCATCTGAGCCACCCAGGCGCCCCCAAAATTTTGTTCTAATATCTGAGGTCAAGCACTATGAAAACCCGTTTTTGCAGCCATTTTCTAGGTTCTGATATAAATGTTGATACTTTGGGGAGTCTCTCAACCTCCCCTAACCTCTTTTCTTGTATCAACCTCTAGGCCACTTTAGAATCAGATTTTCATTCTTTCTCTTTTAAATCAATGAAGCCACAGTGTTGGTGAGCTAAAAGGGAAATAGGCTAACCTTTAACCTTCATCCACAGCTATCTCAAGCAAAGGATAATTAGTTGGTATGGTTTCTTAAGATTTCTTATGGGCTTAAGACTTCTGAAAATCCCCGAATTCTCCCACAAATCATCATTCCAATAACCAGGATAGCAAATGTCCCTGAACGTCAAACAATTTACTTAAGAAATCTGCCAAAACTGTGAATTCACTTGGCATTGTAGCTCATTCTTTGATATTTAGCAATCATAGAGCTACAAGGAAGTCTTCTATGTTACAAAAATGGCTGGTGTTCTAGTCCATGCTTTAAAGCAAAAATTTTAAAAAAGTCATTATTGCTTTTGCTTTATATTCTCCAATTCCATTATGAACAAGCATCGTACAAACCCCTTGGACTGGCATTTCTTGTCCTTTTGATTGGTCTAAAAATGATCTCAACCACAGCTGATCAGCTGTTTTACTGTTGCTATCAAAGCATGCTACTTGCACAAAGTATGAATAGGAGCCTTATAATCCTTTGCTCCATTTCATCCAATAACCAATCTTTATAATAACCCACTTTTCTCAGGATGTTTTGCCTGAAATCCACCCAAGGATACCAACTTCTGTATTGGTTAGGTTTCTTTGGTTGACGGCAAAAGAATTTAATCTGATTTTGAAATGAAAACAAGATACTAGTAGGATACAACTTGGAAAGAATATTCAACAGGTCAGCTCTAGTGAGCAAAGCAGCAGGATCACAGGCAGTATCCTCAAGTTGTGGCCAAAGGACGACTCATTTACAACTTCCTCCTGCGTCCCGAGGAGAGTTTCTGATTGGATTAAAGTGAACCAGGTACAACTGGCAACACAAGCAAAACCTCACTGAATGACACCAGAGCAGCCCCGGGGAAAGTCTATGTGCGTTTCTGTGTGCATGGTTCCGATCTGTACTGTAGACAAAAACAAATATCTGATATGTATTATTTTCATAATTTTAACTTTATAAATTTTTGGTATTTATAGCCATATGAAAATTATACCCTGTTAGTAAATTATATCTTTCTGTATGAAAATCTACCTTATTCTTTTCAGTGACTGTGTAATCTACTGGATTTTCTGTAATTTAACTGATTAACTAGTTCACTAGTGCCAGACATTTAAGCTGCTCCAAATTTCTTGCAATTCTATAATAAATGTGCTTATGCATCTATATTTCTGCACTTGTGCTTTTCAAGAAGATAAATTCCTAGATTTAGAATCGCAGCAAAGTGGTTAGTTACATTTAAAATGTTGACAGGTAACACATTAGCTTCTAAAATGGCTTTTAACCAATTTATCCTCCCAATGTATAAAAATATATTTCTCACATCTGTAAGAGTACTAGCTATTATCCATAAAATTTGTGATTTATGTTGGTGGAAAGGGCTTTTTAAAATTTCAATTTATCCGATCATTACTGCAGTTAGGAACTTCCTCTATTTTATTTGACAATTTCATGTTCTGCATCTGTGAATTGCTTGTTGGTGTGCTTTTCAGACTGTATCTTATCCTTGCTGCTTTTCTTTTTTTTTTTTTTTTAAAATTTTATTTATTTATTTGACAGAGACACAGTGAGAGAGGGAACACAAGCAGGGGGAGTGGGAGAGGGAGAAGCAGGCTTCCCACGGAGCAGGGAGCCCGCTGCGGGGTTCGATCCCAAGACCCTGGGATCATGACCTGAGCTGAAGGCAGACGCTTAACGCCTGAGCCACCCAGGCGCCCCTCCTTGCTGCTTTTCAACAGCACTTTTTAGAAGGGCTATATCCTTCATAATATGTATATGTTTAAAATATCTCCCAGCCTGTCATGTGCCTTTTAACTTTGCACAGTGCCTTATACCATGCACAGGGTCTAAAACTTTTACGTGCTCCTTCCTGTCACTCTCTCTTCATGGCTTCTAGACTCTGCGTCCAGTTTACCAAGTCTTCCTGAACTCAAAGGGATAGAAATATTCTATATTCTCTTCTAGAATTTTGTGTTTCCTATTACCACTTTAATCCATATTCAGGGAACTTCTCTGTAAGGAGTAAAATGTGGCTCTGACTTTACTTCCAGTTGGGTAACTGTCAAACACCATTTAAATAATCCATCTCCCCCAATAATATATCAAAAATGCCATTTCAGTGGGGCTCCTGCCGGGCGCAGTCAGAGGAGCATGAGACTTGATCTTGGGGTTGAGTTCAAGCCCCACACTGGCTCTAGAGATTACTTAAAAAATAAATAGACACTTAAAATACTACTTTTGCAATCCACTGAATTCATGGGTATAAGATCTTTTCCAAAAATTTCCTATGATGCTTGCCTACTTACCACTCTATGTGATTTTCAGAAGAAAACTGTCAATGTAAAAATATCCTACAGTTATCATGACTGAACTGAGTAAATGTAGACATCTTTACAGTATCGAAACTTCCATCTACAAACATGTATGAATCTCCATTTATTCAGAACCTCTATTCTCTTTCAATAGAGATTAATGATTTCCTTTCCATATAGAACCATAAGTAAATTAATCTATCATTTCATTTTGAGGGGGTTGATATCAGAACTGAATGAGCCTCATGAAAGAAGTATTCCAAATACTTTACAGTATTATGTTTTATTTTTTTTCTATACTCTAAAACAGTTTAAAATATGGCTAGACTCTTCAAGTTCTCTATTGCTTCAGTTTTAAATATTAAGGAATTTTTCTTTTTTTGCCTTGATTAGCTATACTCTTACATTCCTGGGTAAATTCTAATTCTTTTGTTTCAGTCTTATCCAGAGCTCTAGGCACTTCCTAAAACATATTCTATGTACCAGGTTTACACTAAATTTCTGCACCTACAAAGGCATACAGCCGTGGAGTCATGAGAAAGCCACTATGTTACTCTGATGTCAAACTTAAAAATACTACACATGCTAATCCTCATTATCCACCTTAAGATGCAGTTTCAGTTCCAAAATTATTATAATCTCCTAGTACTGATATACTGCTTTCCAGAGTTCACTCTTTAAACATAATTTTTAAACAGACTCTGAATGATACTGACTTAACATTTACCAAGCACTTAGTCTGGGTCAGGCACTATTGCTAAGCACTTTATATGCATCAAATAGTTTAAATTTTCATAACCAGGGTTTTGAGAGAGTAGTTTAGTTACATTTACATGTTTAAAAGACCACCACGGCAGTAGTGTGAAGAAAGAACTTGAAGGAAATAAAACAGGATGTAAGACCAGTTTTTATATTGGAACAGTCCAGGTGAAATGACTGTGTTTTGGAGTAGGACAATGAGAACTGAAAGAAGTGGACGAATTCCAAAAATATCTAGCAGATATATCCATGGGGCTTGATGACATATGGGGTGAGGAAGAGCTAAATGCCTGAGATGACTCTGCAGCATGAACTTTCTGATGATGAGTAAGGTGTGCACTTTGTCTGAAGACTTTTCCACATTCTTTACATTCATAAGATCTCTCTCCAGTATGAATTCTTCTATGTAGATTAAGGTGTCCAATCTGGCTAAAGGTTTTCCCACATTCCTGACATTCATAAGGCTTTTCTCCAGAATGAATTCTCTGATGAACTGTAAGGGATTGACGATGGCTAAAGGCTTTACCACACACACTACATTCATAAGGTTTCTCCCCAGTATGACATCTTTGATGACAAATAAGAGATGATTTTGTTCTAAATGCCTTCTCACATTCAACACATTCATAGGGCCTTTGGCCGGTATGGAGTCTCCGATGCTGAGAACGGGATGAGCTATCGCTAAAAGCCTTTCCACATTCGCTACATTTATAGGGTTTCTCTCCAGTATGAACTCTCTGATGTTGAATAAGGCGGGTAGTCTGGCTGAAGGCTTTACCACATTCATTACACTCATAAGGTTTCTCTCCTGTATGAATTTTATGATGTTGGGCAAGGTGTGCCCTCTGGTTGAAAGCTTTACCACATTCCTTACATTCATAAGGTTTCTCTCCAGTATGAATTCTCTGATGAGTAGCCAGCTGTGAACTTATGCTAAAAGCTTTTCCACATTCTTTACATTTGTACGGTTTTTCACCAGTATGAATTCTCAAATGAATGGCAAGGTGTATACTCTGTCTAAAGGCTTTCCCACATTCCTTGCATTCATAAGGTTTCTCTCCAGAATGCACTCTTTGATGTTGTGTGAGTGAAGCATGATGGCTGAAGGCCTTCCCACAGACAACACATTCATAAGGTTTCTCTCCTGTGTGAATTCTCTGATGGACGGTAAGGGATGAGCCATAACTGAAGGTTTTCCCACACACTTTACATTTATATGGTTTCTCTCCAGTATGAATTCTCCTATGCTGAATAAGGCCTATGTGATCACTGAAAGCTTTCCCACAATCGATGCAATCAAAAGGTTTCTCTCCAGTATGATAATACCTCCAGTGACGAATAAGGGATGTGTTCTGCCTGAAGGCTTTCTCACATTCGATACATTCATAGGGTCTTTTGTCAGTGTGACATCTTTGATGTCTAGCAAAGGATGAGCCGTCACTGAAGGCTTTCCCACATTCCTTACATTGATAGGGCTTCTCCCCAGTATGAATTCTCTGGTGCTGAGCAAGGTGGGCAGGTTGGCTGAAGGCTTTTCTACATTCCATACACTTATACGGTTTTTCTCCAGTATGAATTCTTTGATGTTGAATAAGGTGCACATTTTGGCTGAAGGCTTTCCTACATTCTTTACATTCAAAGAGCTTCTCTCCAGTATGTATTCTGTGATGTTGAACAAGGTGCTGACTCTGGTTAAAGGCCTTCCCACATTCTTTACATGTATACGGTTTTTCACCAGTATGAATTCTCTGATGAACAGTAAGGGAGGAGCTGTGGGTAAACATTTTCTCACATTCATGACATTTAAAAAGTTTCTTTCCTGCATAGACTTTGTGTTTTACTACCGTGGAATTTTGGGAAAAGCTTTTTTTACCTGACTTGTGATTATAAACATTTTCTTCTATATTGTCTAGATGGACAAATTTCCCAGATTTGTTATAGTTGTGATCTATTTCCTTAGTAAGGGTTTTCTTATGAGTGGTTACTTCTTGCCTGATAAATGCCTCTTGACTTACCAACTCCCTCTCAAAAAGATCTTCACATTTCCAATTTTCTCTGTAAGTGGAAAACTCAAGTCCATAGCCTGCAATTCTCTCCATTAACACATCATCATACATGAAGTGCTTCAGAGATAATTCTTGTGTCTCATATATAGATCCCAAATCTGAAAGATAACAAAAATCAAGTGCTTCCTTTATCATCGGATATAACAAAGGAAATATTTAATGTGGACAAGGTGATTCAAAAATAGGGAATCCCACAAAATCTATTATGCACCACCACATCAACTGAAAAATATGCAAGCAGATTTCAGAGCTCAGGGAAACATGGAGAAGGTGATTAAGAGAATTAAATGTAGGATAATGAGGTCCTAGAGAAGTAGGCTACAATAATATATTTTTTTAAAGATTTTATTTATTTATTCATAAGAGACAGAGAGAGAGAGAGGCAGAGGGAGAAGCAGACTTCCCGCTGAGCAGGGAGCCCGATTGTGGGGCCTGATCCCAGGACCCTGGGATCATGACCTGAGCCGAAGGCAGACGCTTAACCATCTGAGCCACCCAGGCGCCCAATAATAATATTTTTTTATTTTATCCTGTATTAACAGACTATAAATTAAACACCATTCCTCTATTCTTTCCCACTTCCAGTTGACTTGCATATACAGGTAGGTGAATGTTGTTTAAATACGAATATCATCACATAATTACTGCTGATCAAAAATCTCTACAGATTCTCAGCAACCACAAATACCTTATGCTTCATGACTTCCCTTGGGGTTTAGGTAAACTCCTAGACTAATCTTTTCATAACCAGAAAATAGTGTTTGTATGTACCATTGCTACATATTTCAATACAGCAAACTCTTCATTTCTCAGAGATCCCTGAACTTCAGGTTGCATAGTAAGGCATTTTTCCATTCATCTTCTCATTCTCACCAGCCTAAGGAGAGTGTCACTTCCCAGTCCACATCTTAATGGGGTTTTGCCATAACTCTTTTTGAATAAACTAGTTTCATAATGATATGTAGGTGTGTATTACTATTATGAAGTTTTTTTACTGCCACTTAAAATACCTTTCTTGCCTTGTGAGCTAGAATATAAGCTTCAGGGAAGGAATAATATGCTTTAAACACTACTACTAAATCACTTAACATATATCACAGAAACTCAGGCATATATAAGTTCTCAATAAATACATAAAGAAATTTGTATTGAAGAGATGATACTAAGAGAAAACTTCAGGGAAAAGGTTGGTATCAAGAAAGGGCAAAAGAGAAAGTGCTTTCCTTTCCTCTCTTAGTAATAGTAAATTAGTAATAGTAAATTACTGACTAATCCAATACTCCGTAAAACAGTTTTCTACTATGTGTCAAACATTATGGACACTAATGTAATAAAAGACCAGTTGTTCTTGAGGAGTATAGAAAGTGATTAGAAAGGTAAGACCAACAAAGAAAGTAATTGAGAAGAAAATATGGAATATCAAGTACCAAATACCACAGAGCCCATGTGGTAAAAGGTAAAACTAGTATAGAAGTTCAGAGATGAAAGAGATCAAATCTACTAAAGCAGTTAGGAAGGACTCAAAAGTGTTAACAAGCTTCCTACCCCTTCCTGCTGCTTCTTTCCTTCCTAACACTCAGGCTTCAGTAATTCTAGAATTGAGGCCATGAGAGTTCAACGAACCAATCACCTATAGTTTTTCTTACACAGACAACTGAGGGGAGAAATACTGGACAGAAAAACAGAAAGCTGGGTACATCATGGATTCCTCCCATGAAGATAGTCTTCAACACTACAACCTCCCATGGGAAACCATGGTTGTCTCTTATCTTTTTGGCCTTTCTCAACACAGATGCTAAGATATCTTACTCACTTAATAATAGTTGAATCTATACTGTGACTCAATATCCCACCAAATGTATAGGCTTCATCACCCTTCCTTCTACCTTCCTATTCTTCACAAGGCCAATTATTACTTCTTATCAGGAAAGTTCCTCTATTTCCCTATTTAAGGCAGGTGGTAGATTCCTACACAACAAAGTATAAAGCATGTCTAAGCAGGGCTAATTTCTCTTCTAATATTTGGCTAATTGGAGGATCCTGGAAATCTAGGATCCAAATCATCTCAAAATGTAAAGATCCAATACTGTTATGGAAGTGAAAGAATTTCATAAAGGCACAATTATCATGTATGATTTCAACATTCCCTTGTCTTTGTGAACATTCAGTTCAGTGGGGGAGGCAGAAAATAAGCATGTAAACCATAAGCAGGTTAATTACAGGCTTTCCTGAGTGTTACAAAGAAAATAAGTGGCTTGATAGAAAGTAATTGGGTTGGAATAAGGGAATGTTCATTACAGAAGGTGGTTAGGGAAGGCCTCTGATGAGATGATTTTTGAGCTCCGGCCTGAGAGTCTGTGGGAATTCACAGTGCCTAGCTAGATAAGATTTAATAAATCTTATCTGGATGAAACTAGTTGAAAAGCAAAGAAGGAGTGTCCAGAAAACTGGGCCCCCTTTAAGGTTTCTGGACTGAAAACAGCCAGATCCTCATTGCGGCTCAATGCACTCATCCAGGGAGTAAATGCTTGACTTAGGAGAAACATTTATCTTTGGAGGTCACATACCCCATGCACTCCCTGTCTACATGCCGGTCATGAGCACAGCTTGTTCTATTCACACGATACTCCCTATACCACTGTCCTGATTATTACAGCTTCACATTCCTTCTTGTTTTTCTTATTCCCTTGTTGTATTGATAACATTCACAATAAAGGTGGAGGCAGAGTCTGGCTCGGGACCTTCCGCCACTAGAGCATCCAATCCCCAGGCCCTCCCCTTTCTCCTACTAAGGTGTCTTTTCATTCTCTGTCTCAGGGTTTGCTGGCCAAAGCCGACAGGAGTCAAGCATGGACAGACAGCCAAGAGAAGGGCGTTCTGGGCAGAGAAAACAGGAAGTGCACAAGCCTGAATCAGTAAAGAGCTTGGTGAGTTCAGAAAAGGTGACCAATGGGTAAAAGCAGTGCTTCTCAACTGTACTGTCAGGTACTCGTCAACATCTGTAAGGCAAACAGAGGCAAAAGAATGATACTGCTTGTGATCCAGAAGCAACCAAACTTGGAACTCAGACTGCCTCTGGCCGCACCTGGTCTCTCAAGGCTTAGAGATTCTGTATGTTCGCATACCTTTAACACACTTGAATACCTGGATACCTCACATAGTTTAGAAAACTCTGTACTAAAGTAGAGTGAAAAAGCTAAAAAATCATAGAGGATAAGGTCAGAGAAGTAGGATGGAGCTGGTTACATAGGGGCTGGTAAGGTCTGGGTCTTTCCTATTTGCAACAGGGAAGCAAAGAAAAATATAAAGCAGGACAGATTATGATTTTTTTTTTAAAGATTTATTTATTTATTTGAGAGAGTGAGAATGAGAGAGAGAGAGTACATGAGAAGGGGGAGGGTCAGAGGGAGAAGCAGACTCCCTGCCGAGCAGGGAGCCCAATGCGGGACTCGATCCAGGGACTCCAGGATCATGACCTGAGCCGAAGCAGTCGCTCAACCAACTGAGCCACCCAGGCACCCCCAGATTATGATTTTCAAGCAGCACCCAATTTAGGAGTTAAGATTTAAGAAACAGAGAAGCTTATATAAGTCTATATGGCAAAAGGAAAGAAGGGATGGGAAAGAGCTGGATAGAGATTTTTGCAAACTGAGTTAGCTATTAGAGAGAAGAGATATCTAGACATTTCGGGAGCCGATGCTACATACTAAAGTTTCAATTTTCTCCTCAGGCTTGGAAGGCTTGAGAAGAGCTTCTAATAGCATAAGAAAGGAGAAAGTATCACCTTTGAAAATAGCTGAGCCAGTATCTAGAAAGGATTCCCCTATCTGGTTCTCCCACACTCACCTGGGAATGGGCTTCTTGTCATCTCTGTCTTCATCTCCCAAGGCTCTTTCCCTTGCTCCAATAAGGAGATCATATATGGCTTAGAGATGCAAAGACCTGCATACAAAAAAAAAAAAAAAAAGACATGAAAATTGGCCGTGTTTTGGGTATTTCAGAGCTATAAATCAGTTCCTTAATACTGATGGAATGACATAACATGAATGATTAGATCAAAGGGTAAAACACATTTTAGAGACAGATTACATAAAGCTTCTGGCATAGTCTAGTGGAACTGCCAACAGTCAACTTTATGAAAGTTAAACAATTTTCTAAAGGACTCGGGGAAGAAATTCTGCCCAGCATTTTCACAGGATCATCAGACAGCCAGTAAGTGATGTATTGTAAAGAGCCCCTAGAGACAGAGTTTGGAGTTTGAATCAAGTTAACTGCCTGCTTAAAAAAACAAAACAATGTGGTATATATACACAATGGAATATTATGCAGCCATCAAAAGGAATGAAAGCTTGCCATTTTCAACGACGTGGATAGAACTGGAGGGTGTTATGCTGAGCGAAATAAGTCAATCAGAGAAAGACATGTATCATATGACCTCACTGATATGAGGAAT